GTCATTAGTGCTTTCTAAACTGAAAGAACTAGAGTCCTCTTAGTCCCAATGCTGATATTATAGATGTGAAACATGGTCCTCAATTCACTTTCCTTCGATGTAGCAGTGATAGTTTAATATCATGCCTATATCAACAAGAAAATACTAAAGTATATGCAGATCAGCAGTTTCTAGATACCCAAACTGTTTTGTTTTTTTCTAGATCTGCTCAACATAACTGCGAGAGAGGACTTTCTCCTCCTTCTTCTCTAAGTCCCCTTTCTCTTTTTTTTTTCTATACTTTATCTTCTACTTTATCTCCTCTGACTTCCCCTGGTTAGCCATACACGTCACATGGTTTCAGTGAGGACAGAGCAGCCACTATCTGTTCACATTGCAAAAGGGTGTCAATTCAAGAGCAGCAGAGAGATCTAAACACAATGCAGGTCCATCCTTCTCTTTGTATCTCTTTTCTTTCTTGCCCGCTTTCAATCCATGTATTATTCCAGGAACCTCAGTGTTCCGTTAGGGAACTAATCTTGATTGTGCATTTATAGATTGTCACTTGAAAGTGCAAATCTATAAAATAATAAAGCTGTGACCATTCAAGTCTTAGAGTGTTTATTTACTATGGATTTCAATAGAGAGAGTCATTATACAACAAAACAAAGGAGAGCTTTTGTCATGAACTCACCATGCATCCTTCATGCTTATACATTTTGTTTATTTTTCATTCATAAGCCACGTTATCAGTTCCTGACGTGTAGAACACATCAAAGAGCCCGTGTAGGTACAGAGTGCCCAGTGTGGATTGAAAACAAGACTGAGTTTGGGAAAACAGTGCCCACTGCAACCCCCTGATAGAGAACTGGCGTGGAGACGGGTGAAGTCCTGTTGACTTAAATAGTTTGACGTGTATCCATATCTGATATAACAGACCGATTTTTACCCATGAAGACATCAAAGCCAGGGTGGAACTCTCAATTTCCATTTCTTAATGTAAACACTTTCAGAGCTCACAGAAATCAATCTGGTATTTACATTTCACAAACTGACATCCTATTTTTAGCTCTGGAGCAGAATGTGAGACATGAATATATATAAAGAGAGGGTGAATCTGCAATGTCTCGGGTGAGGGTGTGAATCTCTTTACATCTTGCCTCATCCTTTCCAGGCTTTATACATGCACACAGTTCCCTTTATGGCTTCAGCAGAACTGGCTGGCAATTTATCCAAGTGATTGCCTTTTATGATAAAGCACCAGGAGGTAGATGAGGCCAGAACGATCTCTGTTCGCAATGTTAACATTATTTACACTCAATGCTGTGATTGTCGTATTGACTCTGGATCAAGGCAATTTGGTAGCATCACAGTCTATTACTGGGGGACAACATTATAAGTATCCCCTTCAGAAATGAAAGAGTGAAGAGAGCTTGTCTGTGTTGATGATGAGCATGGAATGTTTTTCCATGCTTTGATATATGATTCCATAATACCTCAAACACGGGTTCCATCAAATAATTATTCAACGGTGGTGCCATCTGTTGATTGGCCCAAAGATTTTAAGGAAGCAGAAAATTGGTGGGAAATGTACGGAGGTATAAAGATGAGAATTAGGTTTGAAAGTCCTTGTCCAACCTTAATGCACTTCTTGCAATGGAAGAAGACAACTTGCTTATTCGGCCAAAAAAAAACAAAAAACTAAATTTAACTGTAAGTGCCTGGAGATCAACAGCTTCCATATCATCCTAAAACAGATTGTGGCCAAAAATGATCAGGAGATATGGAGAGAGGAAAGTGTCTGATATGAGGAAATCTAATTTGTTTTAAAAAACCCCATCATTTTGGATTTGGTGGATGATATATGACAGTTATACTGATGGAGAATGGTGGTGGTGGAGTTTACTTCAAAGGATGAAAAGGATATTAACATCAGAAGGTATATCCAATTGTCCAATAGACAACTACATAATTGATTCTTTGCTCGTGATCTAAAAAAGTTAATTACATTAATATAATTTAGGAAGTGCATAGCAATCTAGATTGTACGTTCCCATGGAAATAAAGCCCGCAACTCCTTCTGTATTTGTTTGTCAAATTTTGTATTGTCTCTTAGATGTATTGTACTTTTTTCTTTGTAGTGTATCGATTGTACTGATGGACAGTATTGTGGAATGTGTTGTCGTTTTAGAAATAAAGTATATTAATACTCTCGGTGAAAAGATGGACCCACTGAAGACTCTACCACATTCAAGCACATGCTGCTCCACCATTTCGGTTACAGATTACAATAATTTAGCATTATTATATTGAATACCTTTCTGTGCTAGGAATGGTAAGCAATACAGTGATCGGAATGAGTTAATGCAAAATGCAAGCATTATACAGATTACTGCAATCCATTCTCACGACTATCATTTATCCCGAACAGCTAGATTCTTTCTCAAAGTAGTACTCTAAAAATTTAATTACCCTGACTATTCACTGAGATACAATGTTTCAGATGTAATAAAATCAACAATCTTTCCTTCGCACTTGTCTCTAAAGAGAGAGGCATTGCAGTAGACGATTAAATGCCTAGTGCTATCAAATATAATTATCAGTCAACCCCCTGCAGGGTCCCTTCTTACAAGGGTCTCAAAGAATCACCTTGCTTATAATCTACACTTGAGTTCAATAGTCTATTGGAAATGTAAAAGTATTGAGCCATGTAAATTATACATATCTGTTATCTTTCTCCTAGTAGCTATTTAATGGCTTAACTATGTCAATGCGCAGCACGTCAAAGCACAAACACCACATTTTCTAGAATAAATAATGTTAAAATATCACCCTAACTGTATATAATTATATTTAGTTTCAATGCAATTGGGATGATATGCTATCCCTTTTACTTTTATTGAGATTCTACTCTACAAACAGTATTAACCAATATGTATGATTGGGTTTTGGTTTTAAATTCACTTTTTGATTGGCGAACTCTTATCGATACATCGAGGCATCACCAAACATGACAAAGCTTTAAAATCATACGACTTGTTTTATAATGATGGATGTTACATAGTTACATGTTCTGAGAAAAGACTCACGTCCAAGTTCTGCCGTTATCACATTTTTTTTTGCTGTTGATCCAAAAAAAGGCAAAAAAAACTTTTTTGCAACAAACAAGGGGAAAATCCGTTCTTGAACGGCAGTCTGATCTCTCCTTGGTTTAAGAAGCTGTTAATCCACATATTAAATATTATATCCCTGAATACTATGTTTTTGCAAGAATTCATCTGGTCACTGTTTAAAAGTCCGTACAAACACTGATAAAATCACCTCTTCGGCAACAGAGCTCCACGTCTTTATCGTTTTTCCTGTAAAGAACCCTTTGCCATATACTAAATCTCCTTTCCTCCTATGCAAATGGTTGACCATTTTTCCTATGTTACCTTGTGTCTCGTTTGTGAATAGATTTCCAGACAATGGTTTGTCCCAAAATATACTTGTATAATGTTATCGTGTACCTTTGAGGTGCCATGTTTATAAACTAAATACATTGGTATCATCCACTGCTATCAAACACCACTGTGCTGATTTAGTAAAAAGGCACCTACTTAAGTCTTGGCCAATTTATGGTGGTTACATGTGGTGAAGAGGATGTTGGACCTTCTGCCAAGAAGATCCAAACAGGGTTGAAGATTCTCCTGTTGTCAGATAATGTACTGTGAGAAAGTGGAGAATTGGTAAAACGTGTTAAAGAACTGGGAGATCTCACAGATAAACTCAAAAATAAGATGGATGAAATTAGGGAATCTTATAACCCTCCAGTAAAAAAGACACATGATGCTTGCTGGCTGAATCAACAAATGAATTTGAACAAAATCTTGCTGATTTCAAGGATCGGTCCCCATACTGCAATGTCAGGATAAGAGTAATTCCAGACTCTAAACCTGTTAGAGAGTTAGAAGAATTGTTTTAGAAAATATTTATTCATTAGCCTATTGCCTGGTATGAGCAAGGAAGAATTCATTATCCACAAGGTCCTTAGGCTCCCCAGGGGGTGCTATACTTGCCCTTCGATACCTAAAGGATCCACTTGCACAGGGTTAATTTCTAAAGTGAGAAATCAGGGTGACAGCTACGTGAATGTCAAATTTAAGGTGAATATAGCAAACTGGAAAAATTTGATCAGCTGTGGATTCAGCTCTGCTACTCTGGCCTTAAATTTGAACTTATCGTCATTTTAAATTGATTTTGAATAATCACATTAGTAGCTAATACTGCCAGTTTTTACCCAAAGCCTATTCTGGGATGGAGGACCCACGATACTCTCTTTTGTCACAGGAATGATAAATTACGATGAATTATGCTGCAGTCAAATTTGTCTTTCTTCTAAAAATGTAGCACATGCCGCTATATAAAGCATTGAATGAAGGTAAAAAAAAGTTTGTAGGATTTTGCATCGAGGTCGTTTGCTTCCCTGAATTCTGACAGAGTCTAAAGTCGGTTAAATTTAGCAGATCACCCAATGTACCACTAGCTGTAAAACCTGGGAGGCTTTCCTGAGCACTAACACTTATTCTTAAATTAATTCTGACATTTTGTGGTTATTTCTGACTTCTTCTCAAAACACTGCTGGCAGATACATTCTTAGGTTAACAAGCACCCACTTTCAGTTTTAAGGTCACTTCATCAAGCTGTGTTACACCACTCAGATTTTAAAGTGCACTTGTCACGGTACGCAAGGATTTGAATAAAAGAAAAGTAAATTAAACTATGTTTGTACATCGTGTTTGCAGAATCTATAGAAAATGTTTAAATGAGAAGAGGGAACATTTTAGAAATAGGGAATTTTGCCTCACCTGTCACTCTATTCTCAGTATAGTCTTCTTTGCCAACAATTAAATAACACGGTGTAGAATGTTAAACAACTTACAGGTGGTTCTCCTGCTCTCTGTCAGAGCAAGTGCACAACATGCGCATTGTTGCTGTAGCTTTGATGCATCTTGCAGGACGATATATTAACACAGAGACAGATTTTACTCCATTCTGATAGTGCCAATAAAGCCAGATTGTTAATGTCATTTGGGAGCTGCTTTTCTTGGAGCGAGGTGTTTCAAAACAAGGCCAGTCCTGCCAGATAAAGGCAGGACATGGAAAGTAGCTGGGGTTAGTATGATGTCCACATAGCACAAATCATAACGATGTCTCTGCTCTCAAGCAATTTGTGCAGGTCAAACTTCAAGGATGCATCCGAGCAACCCGGGAGCAAGGAGGATAGAGATGTAGAGCTCACTGATTATCCTACTGAGATCCTTTCAACGTTTTAGCAGCACTCTGCAATGGACGGTATAGTATAGAAGTTTGGCACAACTGTACTTTCTATATGTTGGCATTATTGACCCAACAATATTGACATTATTCTTACATTCTGATGGTATTTATAGGAAGCAATATTCCAGAATTGCCATCATGTTCCTTACGCTACGCCGCAAAATGGTTTTTATGTTTCTATTTGCTTTTATTTTTATAAAGAAAATCAGTTGGTACTAAAGGAGTCAAGTAGACAGTAATGTGCTTTATTTCATTTAACTGGTATTGTCAGGATAAGCTAATGCCCAACACGCAGAACTTAAGTAAAAAATAAAGAAAATCCTAAGACGTATTACCGGGCCTTAGAATGGCCGGATTTAACGTATAAAAGGAAAAACCACAAGACAGGCTGTGGACATGAACACAGAAATCACGGAAACTATTAACAAGCCAAAGGTCGAGGAATATTGAGGTCAAAATAGTCAGGAGCCAAGCCAAAGGTCAAGGAATACAGAGATCTGAATAGTCAGTAGGAAAGCCAAGGTCAAAATACACAAGAAACAGTACCAGAAACGCGCTCTCGGATAACCAGAATGGAAATCACGACAGGGCACAGAGAAATGGACAAAAAAGGTTTATATAGCCTAGAGTGCTACCTGATTGGCTGCAGAGAAGCATGTGATAGTGAACGTGTGTGTGTGACATCACCCAAACATTCAAAATGGTATGGCACTATAAGGGTTAGTAACAAAACCCTTAAAAGGATCTAACTTGCAGCAGCCGGGGTCTCTAATGATTACAGACCCGGCCGCTGGGGGAGGGGTTCTTGTCAGAGGCGTTCTCAGGAGGAGTTAAGTGATAGGCAGCATTCCCATTACCACGTGGGAATGCCGCCACAACGAGATGCGCCCGCCGGCTCCCAGTCCGCTCCCCGGCATGAGCGGACCCGGTGGGTGCCTGCAGACCAGGTAAGTATTCGGCGGCATTCCCCTTGATGTGTGGGAATGTTAGGCCTAGCAGTCCATCAGTTGGCATATCTAGCAGTCCATCCCATCAGTTGGCCTAACAGTCCATCAGCTGGCCTAACAGTCCATCAGTTGGCCTAACAGTCTATCAGTTGGCCTATGTAACAGTCTAAAACTTTGGCACCCTTACACATGAACAGCTTCAGAGATTTTTTCATAGTTTTCATAAAGTAAAAGCAGGCTTTCGTGAAAAAAAAAACAAAAAGTGGCAATTTAATTACAGCTTATAAAAATAACACCTATTAGTATTTCCTTAAAAGATATTACAATATTATGCATGAAATATTTTTGGACGTGTGAGTTTCTCTTAAAACCTTTCAATTCACGGAATCACTCCTTTCTCACAAAACCTTCATATAGTATATAAATATTTTTATTTTACCTTTCATATAATCTATGATAGTATCTCCTCTATGCATTGATCCTCTGTAAACCTATGAGCTCTGTACATGTGGGAGTAAACAAATGTTTTTAGCAGACCTCTCTTTCTGTCAGTATGTAGCGTGCCCCCTTCACCACCACCATAACCACAATCAGTATATTCTCAATACTTATGGGAAAACATAACAAGAGCATGCATTAAACTAGCAGAATCCACCCAGAATGTCTCCTTTCTCTCCGCAAGAAAATGGCAGAAAGATCCAAATTAGATCTATTTAATAAACTAAATATTGATTAACAATGAAACAAATTATATTTATAATATATATAAATACTGAAAAGCCAAAATTTTTTACTGATGCTCTTCAATCTCCATAGGAGACCTTTTAAGGAACAATCTAAACACCCAAGTCCCTTTAGTGTGTACTCTTTTCTCATTTTACGTATAGTGCAGATTTCACTAGAAATTGTCACTTTTATCAATTAACCTTATTACACCCCTCTGACATCAGACATCCAGTCCTGTCACTTCTTGGTTTGGTTAGCTCAGTGACCCTAAACTCAAGAGGCAGCAATTGCCCAGATCACTTGCCTTGCAAAGACTTTTCATTGAGGGGCATTGGGAAGTTTTTTATTGGACAGCAACAGAAAGTATGGGAGGGGTTAGAAGGGGAGGGCTTGTAAAGACTGCAGACAAGAGAACTGCAACTTATTCAAGTTGTTTTTAGATACACCCACATTAAAAAAATGCAATATTAAATGCATGTACGTTTTTATTTTATTACTATTTATTTTATTTTTATTTTTTTGGGGGGGTGAAGGGGGTCAGTGGAGTGTCTCTTTAAAGAACAACCAACTATACAATGTTTGAGTGCGACTTATTGTTTTGAGTTTGTTTTATTTAACTCACTCTTTGGTTATGTACAACATTGAAAGAAACATGTACTCATTTCTATTGAGCTAAGCTGCTTTCAGCCCACACAATGTCAGAAATACTTCTCAGTGTATGACTGTCAATGGTCTAACACAGGTTATTTGATAGAAAGAATATCATAACAGTGCAGCTATTTACCTCCCCCACTTTTCCACTGACACAATAGAAAAAAAGGTTCAAGGTACCAGACCTAATTTTCTTTTGTATTTCAACCCATTTAAATGTTGAATTACCCTTGAGAAATGTTCCAAAAACATACTTCTTTAAGAATTTCAGTAAGTACTTTAGGGGCTAGTAAGGATGGTATGTTATAATTAGAGATTACAAATAATTACAGATATTATTATTATTATTATTATGTTATAATTTATATAGCGCCAGAAATTCAGCAGCGCTTTACAGTGGGTGGACGGTGAGTGGACGAATAGACATGTAGTTGTAACCAGACAAGTTGGACACACAGTAACAGAGGGGTTGAGAGCCCTGCTAAATGAGCTTACATGCTAGAGGGAGTGGGGTAAAGTGACACAAAAGGTAAGGATAGTATTAGACTAATGACAGTTGCAAGAGAGGAATCAGTCGGGAGCTAGTAAGCATTTAATTGGAAGTACGGACAGAAGATAAGACTTTAGCAGAGAGTAAGAGCCTAGACAGGACATAGTTGTGTATAAGGGAGGATAGATAGGTGGGAGCAGCATTATGTAGAGATTTAAAAGTAAGAACCAGAATTTTAAATTGAGCCCTATATCTTACAGGAAGCCAATGTAGGGACTGACAGAAAGGTGAGGCGTGGGCGGACACGAAGATGAGCCTCACCGACGCATTTATTATGGACTGTAACCGCGCAAGTTGGGAGCACACAAGACCACTGAGAAGTGGATTACAGTAGTCAAGGCGAGAAAGGACAATGGAATGGACCAGCACCATAGTCGCATCTAGCGTAAAGTAGGGTCGGATGCGCGCAATGTTTTTGAGATGGAAACAACAGGATTTGGCGATATACTGAACATGAGGCTTAAAGGAGAGGTCGGAGTCAAAGAGAACACCTAGGCAGCGAGCCTGCTTGGTGGAGCAGATGGTAGCACCGTTGACTTGGAGGGAGACAGACCCAGGAGTAACAACACTTGAGGGAGGAAAGACCAGAATTTCAGTTTTGGTCAAGTTGAGTTTAAGGAAGTGGGCAGCCATCCAGTTAGAAATAGCAGAGAGGCATTCAGAGACACTAGTCAAGAGGTACGGGGAGAGATCAGGAGAGGACAGGTAGATTTGCGTGTCATCTGCATAGAAATGATATTGGAAGCCAAAGGAGATTACCAAGGGAGGCCGTATAGATGGAGAACAGTAGGGGACCAATGACTGAACCTTGGGAGACACCAACAGAGAGGAGTTGGGGAGAAGAAGCAGAGCCAGAGAAAGAAACTCTGAAAGAGCGCTGGGAGATGTAGGAGGAGCACCAGGAGAGAGCAATATCTTGTAGACCGATATTGCGGAGGATGAGAAGAAGCTGTTAATGATCAACAGTGTCAACAGTGTCAAAAGCAGCAGACAGGTCAAGGAGAATTAGGATAGAGTAATGACTACTACTAGCGAGTAGATCATTGGATACTTTGACCAGTGCCGTTTCCACAGAGTGCTTAGCGCGGAAACCAGACTGAAGCGGGTCTAGCAGAGAGTTGGACTCAAGGAAGTCTGTCAATCTCGCATACACAATTCTTTCAAGGATCTTGGATGCAAAAGGCAGTAGCGAGATAGGACGATAGTTGGATGGGGAGTTAAGGTCAAGATTGGGCTTCTTTAGAATTGGGGTTACAGTTGCATGTTTGTAGGGGGCGATGGAAATATACCAGAGGAGAGAGAGAGATTGAGAATTTTAGTGAGAGGTGGAGAAAGAGAAAAAGACAGAGTACGGATGAGATGTGAGGGAATTGGATCTAGGGAGCAGGTGGTGGGGCGGGAGGACTGGAGCAGAGCAGAAACCTCTTCCAATGTAGCAGGTGCAAATGAACATAGAACAGCAGAGGGAGTGAAGTTGGGGGAAGTATTGTAAGGGGAAGAAGAAAGATGAGAGATCTCTTCTCTGATTGTAGAGATCTTGTCAGTGAAGTGAGTTGCAAAGTCTGAGGCGGTCAAGTTAGTAGGTGGAGGAGGAACTGCAGGGCAAAGAAGAGAGTTAAATGTGTAAAATAGTCGTTTGGGTTCGCGGGAGAGTGTGGTTATGAGGGTATTGAAGTAATTAACTTTTGCAGAGGAAAGAGCCAAGCTGTATGAGCTCAGCATAAATGTATAATGGAGAAAGTCAGATGCACAGTGAGACTTTCTCCAACAACGTTCAGCAGTTCTGGAGCATTTTTTGGAGGTATCGAGTGAGCTTGGTGTGCCAGGGTTGTTGTTGGTGGCGCCTTCGGCATTTAAATGTACAAGGTACCATGATGTCTAGTTGAGAGGAGAGGTTGGAATTGTAGAAGGAGGTTGCAGAACTAGGACAGGTGAGGTTTGAGATAGGTAAAAGGAGAGTTTGGAGATTAGTGGAGAAAAGCTCTAGGTCAAGACATTGGAGGTTTCTGTGAGAGTGATGTTCAAACGATGGTGTCAATTGG